CTTGGCTTATTAGGCAAATCGGGCCTTGTATAGTAGGCTGAGAAGTGCGTTCTGGCTACTAGGTACGACATATATATATATATATATATATATATATATATATATATATATATATATATATATATATATATATATATATATATATATATATATATATATATATATATATATATATATATTGTGACGGGAAAGTGTTGGAGTGTAGATGTTCGGCAGTCCTCCAATGGCTGGTGTCAATGCCTAGTCACACTTACAAAAAAAAGACAGACTGCTTGCCTGTTTGTCTGTGGTAAAGTAAGGGTAGACATGCAAAACCCAAAGTATGAACAATGAAACTTTAATTATTACAGTAAACAAATTATAAACAAAGACAATCCCTTGGCAATGTACAGTGCAAAAGAACAAGTCAAAAACAATATAACATAAATGAATAATAGGGATGAAGTTACTCTACAGTAATAATAAAGTTAAAGGTGAAAAAAAAATCAGCCCAGACATCGACTCGGTTAGAGGGCGCTGAGGTGCAGTGTGCAGGTGTGCAGTTGGCGAGTCACCAATCAGGAGCAGGCAGGCTGGGAAGGGTAGTTGGCTGGTTGATGACGAGCCGGCGTGGAGGGAGTGGAGTAGGGGGTGAGTCTGGGTACGTTTTGCCTCCTGGTCAAAACGTTTTGTGCTACTGGGAGACGTATCTTGAAGGTAGCATCTTATTCTTGTGTAAAATACGTAACTTCATGTAGAGAAGAGCAGGCTCAATCTCTCTTGAAAGAGATTATCGCCACAATATATATATATATATATATATATATATATATATATATATATATAATATATATATATATATATATATATATATATATATATATATATATATATATATATATATATATATATATATATACAATCATTTACACAAATGTATATACATGTCAATAATCTATTTATGTCACAAGTGATTCAACGAGAGGCTCACAACAGTCTCTATACAAGGCACTTTACATCTATGGTGAGTCACACAGTTACTATTCTTGTTCCACACCCACCCAATTGGGCGGCAACTTTACAGTCGTGTGCTCCACACCCACCTAACTGGGCGGCAGCTTTACAGTCATGTGCAGGCTGCACCTACAGTAAGAAAATTTTGGATACTTCGCAAAGATTTCTGGCAGTACATCATCATGAATGAAGTACTTACATATTTCTTGGACTCCATTGATGGCTTTATCTCTGAATTCCGCGATTTTAAGAGAGTCCATATTATGTGGATTATATCACATTTTGGCCTCCGAATGCATGATAGAGTTGATGAGTTAACCAGAGAATCTGCCTTCAAAGGAGTTGTATTTGTGGTCATTCTCGAACCCATTGTTGATATATTACTGTGTATTATAATTCATTAGACTATGTAACTAGTTTATCAAGAACGTAACTTGCTTGGCTAAAATAATTTTGGGATTTAGTTCCTAAGCCTTTTATATACCTCTATAACCTTTTCCACTACGACCCACAGGATGGATAACACATGAACTAAATTAAACAAAAAAAAATCCGCGATTTGTGACCGTTTAGCACCAATGGGAGTCCTCGCATCACGAAGTGTCTCCTCCACCTTGCCCGGGGAAAACTATTCTGCTCTGTTCTGCGATCCACCGTAGAGTAATATTGGTAGCTGGCAACCAGTTGATGATCAGGTAAGGCAAATGTGAGTATAAATGCCTGAAGGAGGAGGAGCAGTGTCAGTTTTCACTGGTCACTGCCACTGTTGTTGCTGGAGTTGAAGCAAGGATGAGGATCTTAACTGCTACCGTGAGTATTGCACAACTTTTTTGCAACTATACGATGACTAGAGTCCCTAACATGAATGGCTGGAGCATTGTTCTCATGCCAGCAAGTTTAATACACATATTGTTTTCTTAAGTCTGTTGTTAAGAATACGGTCGTTTTCACCCAATTATAGTAGAGGACAAAAACAAGAAACTGAATAAACAGCAGCAGCATTGGAGGCAAGAGGAGCAATGTGAACCAAATTACTAAAGTATGTTAGTTTGTTGAAAGTTAAGTTCTGTATCAAGAAGACGAAGGTTATTAATGAGTTTTTAAATTCAAATATGAAGGGAAGGCGCAGCATAGTATTTCTAGCGTTGGAATCAATTCACAGTAGGCCCAAATAAAGTGTTAAGCTTCCTGCGTGGATAAAAGCACTCTTCAGTCATGTTAGGGACTCTAATCATACTATAGCTTGGTCTTCTTTCAAAATAATCTTTTCTGCCTCTGCTCTCCACAGACGACGTTTTGTTGAATCGGCTCTCATACAATATGAACCGTAGTCCTGGCTTTGTTACTGTTGACTCCTGCCTTTCTCAGTTCATAGTTAAATGATCTAACTTTTTTAACAATCGTGATCTGACTTAGCTATCTGACCCTCTGTGCTCTACTTCTATCTCTTCTCTTCCTCTCTTCGTGTTTCTCCCTTGATTCTTTCTCTTATTTCACATTTGTTCCTTACCGCGTATCTCTTCTCCCATTTCTTCTTGCTTTTTTTTAGTTTTCGTTAGTTTGCACAGGAAGCTGCCTCGTATAGGCCAAAACAGACCTTCTACCGTTATCTTTATTCTTATGATAGCTCGGGTTTCATGCTTTGCTTCTCTGCCTACCTCTGTGTGTTGGGTTAGGTTTGTTCAGCCAGGTTGTTGTGACCTATTCTCTGAGAGCCGAAAAGATGCAGCCATAAGGAAGAGTCATGAGTAAACTCGTGTTGTTCTTAGTGACATATTTGTCGTAGAATCTTTCAAGAAAAATTTAAATATGTTAATCGTGAGGAAATTTAGTTTAATGTGCATGATGAAACTCTGAACAAATTTAATTCAAGATTAGGTCTTCGGTTCTTAGTTTATATTTGTTATTAGTCAATAGCTCATGTATGCTGAAGCGATTACAGATACAAAATATTGTCGTACACACGTTTCAGTTATTAATATATAGTGTTTATGGTTTCATACTGTCGGGGTCAGAAAGCCTGTTGTCAGCCTTATCGAGGTCTTCCAAACCAATGACTGCCCATTATGTTGTAACCTACAGTGGTTATCTATCTCCCGGTTACCTATTTACTGCTAGATAAACAGCGGCATTAGGCGTAAGGTGTGGGATATCTGGGGCTTGACTCATATATTCAATTATTTACTTATTTGGTTTAATAAAAACGAAGGACCACCCACTTTTGAGAAAAGAGGTGAAAACTAATAAAAGTGATCATTAGAATAACACTAGAGAACCAGTGTCTATGGATAATTATTAAAAGGATAATCACTTGAAATAATGAATGGACTGTATTATTAATTAATTAAATTCAGAGCCTCAAACACCTACATTGGGGGGTTATTTCTGGAAATTCATATACATCTAGGAACTAGTGTGGTTCGCCACTAGTTCATTGCTGAGTAAATGATATTATAAATCTAAATTACTATAGATTCAAATATGAGAACTCAAATTGTGAATATTAAAGATTATAATAACTGAGCAACAGTCAGAATAAACACATTAACTACCAATCATCATTTCTGGTAATAATCTATTCAAGGCAAAGATTCTACAAGAATTATATAAGAATCAAATCATGTAAATTAAATTTGTACGAAAAAAGTCTTAGCTTTAAGACGATTTCTATAACATCGTTTCGTCATTCGTCCTTGTGTTCACTGGATCTCCACAAGGAAGGAACTAGAGTTGAATAACACGAATGAAGAGAAACAACTTGATGACTCCTCGCATACACGCTGAAATTAAAGAAGATTAAGTAGCATTTGAATAGGTTACGTTTTAATCTCAATATTCATGAAATGGAGGAAATGCCGAATTGGTACTAACGTTGTATATTGGGTCTTCTCGCTATATAACGACAGACTACTCACAAATATAAAATCTAGTATGATGCATCAAACGAGAAATCTATACTTAAAGTGAGCGTATTGAATACTGAAGTCTGCCGGTATCGCGTCTGCCGGTCCCAGACGTTCACTGCTGTGTACGTGTATTTGAGGGTTTGGCTTTAATTTTTGACGCGTTATTGACTGGCTGGGCACCATAGAGCACACGGAGGAATAATTATCAACCGTTGGTTTGGTATCAGCGTAATTCTTGCCGATAAACTCCCGGTTACTACCACGTGTCTCGCCACTCTTCACGCCAGGGGACCCTCTTCTCGCACAAGCTGTCGTACAATGGCGTCGCCGCCTCACTCAACCCGTCTCTCGCATTCGCCACAGAAATTATTAATCACGAATAATTCTTTTCCTCGCAATTATGGATGTAATACGTTAAAGAGAACTGGGTTGCAATTATAGGGATTTAAATATTATCATATTCTCGTTTTATGGTGTTAAACGAGAAATGGAGAAGATTTTATTTTTCTCCATGACATTCGTACGTAACAGATAGAACTATTACCACAGAACAATTTAATTAATAACTCTCGGTTTAAGATTATTGGGAGTTATATTATCCGTAAGTAATTATTACACTGAATACTGATGATTTTAGAGAACCACATTCAATTCTCTAACACATTGGTAATAAACGTATCTAGCTGGACATTATCTGATGCAATGTTGCTGCTCTATTTCATGAGAATTCTAGCATTAATACGCAGATGTAATGGTTAATTTATGTTGACACGACTGTTAGTAAAATTAGTAACTACTGTAGTTAGTATATAATGATAATGATTTATTATAATACTATAGTAGTTTATTAGTGTTGGAAATTTCCAACATAAGGAAAGCTGTCACTCACGTCTCGCCCTGCTCGGAAATGGACTCAAGGATCAGTCGGTTGTGAGCTGACTGCGCTAATTGTTGAACTTTAGGTCATCTTATTTATGTGTATTCAAGACAATAAGTCATTATACCCAGACTGATCATTGCAGGTGGTGATGGCGGTGATGGTGTGTGGCGTACTGGCTGAGCTTGGTTATGGTGGTGGTGGCGGCCATGGTGGTGGCGGTGGTGATGGTGGTTATGGAGGCGGCTACACAGGAGGACGTCAAGGACCCAGTATTATCTGTGCTGTGCTTGTTGGGCGCCGCACTAGTACAAGTGGTGGTGTTGGTTATGGCGGAAGCTATTGAGGTGGCAAGAGATGGTAATCCTACAAGTGATAAAGATGCGATGTAAATGTTCTTAAGCAGCCATTACCCATTACTGCATTAAACTTGCACAAAGTTTCAGCTACTGCAGATGCTGTCCACAAATGGTTTTAGTTTTGTTAATCAAATGAAACATCAAAGTGGTCAATGTTTTTAACTAATAGGGTTATTAAATTTATGTATTGTAGTGACGTTTGCTCTCTTGTTTCTGGAATATTGAATATCTCAAAAAAGCCTAATGTACGTCAGACAAAACAAATTAATAAATTATTCCTAATCATTTGTCATTTATACTCTTGTTTATTGATTAGATTTTAGCAAATATATCTAACCTCACCTTATCAAACCCAACCAAACCGAACTTTAATCTTTCCAAGAATAGCCTAATCAAATCAATTTAACGTCATTAGCACTGTTACGGACCCGAGTCCAGCGTCGTAGCACAGAGCAGTGACGACAACGCCATCTGTGAGTCTGCTCCCGAAACCCCCTCCAAATGGACGACGCCATCTAGTGAGGACGGGATATACCGGCCACAGGTGCTGGATTCCCGTCTTAATCAGCTCATAACATAGCCGCTGCTGACCTCTGGTGAGGTGGCGCTTAGACAGCAACGCCATCTATGGAGTGGATAGGTGGACGTTTGTGTCTAAGCCTGTAAGTGAGGTTCCCTAGTTCCAGTATTAATGACGTGTCTGATTACAGAGTCGACCTGGGACTGCTGTATCGGACGATGGATCAGTCTACCCAAGGCAGCCAAAGTCTCTCCACGAGTTGGATCTGAAGAAGCTGTGAGTCACCCCCCGGACGAACTCTGCTGAGAGTGTTAGCCTGCCTGTGACGTGGCAGTGTCGAGGAATCGCCTTATCTGGGGCTGGCTGGTGGAAGAGACTAGCCACTGTGGTGCTGAGAGAGGAAGGTGATCAGCGGGATCACACAAGGCTCCTGCCTATGGCTCGCAACCCTAGTATCAGTCGTGGAGTGGCCTACACAGCGGAGCTGATTGGAACCTGCCAGCTACAGGCTGGATTGTGGTTGAAGGCCTCCACGACGGAGCACCCAGTGGGACTGTGATTTCGCTGGCCTGTGGCCAGGGTAGATTCGCCGAGAGAAGCCAAGAGGATTCATCGTGGGCCACGGAGGAAGGAACCAGGGCTACTCAAAGTGCGCACCGTGGAGCATTCTGTATCTTCAGAGGAAGACAACTCTGTATATTTTCGTGTAGTTATAAAACCCCGTGTGACTGTTATATATTTATATGGTGGTGGTAAGAATATATATATAAATCAGAACATTTGTATCCCTCCCCCTTTATTTTAACTTGCGTTACGGAACACACCCCTTGAAAGCCACTACTAACTTGGGGCCGGATTCCCAAATTCTAATAACACCAGAAAAGAACCCGGTTACGCCCCAGTAGGGCCGTAACAAGCACGAAGGGTTGTGGCTATATAAGGGCCTTTTGTTATATCCAGATATATTCTTATACACAAGGTGGGGATTATACATCTCACTGGTTTTATGCAAATCACTGAGGCTATACAAGAGCCGGTTTATTCGAGAGCCTTACCGCTCCTGTGCCAGGTAAGTCCACCACGGGCTCACCATTGCCCATGCTATTAGGAACTTGTTCCAAGCAGCTGACTCTATAAAACAACAACATCGAGAGCCTTGCGAAGTACTACACCAGGGGTGTCGATCACACACATTCTATGGTCACCCAGATATGTTACTGCATGATGCGAGATTTGACAAGGAAGACCTTAAGAGTGAGGTACTCGTAAAATAATATTAATAATAACAATTAATAATAACATTTAACATATTACCTAGTTTTTTACATTTGGCATCTCTTGATCTGGAACATTACATCACAGTCTGGAACAAATGCCTGAGCTACAGCAGCCTTGTGTATTGAGTTCAGGTGTGCATTAGAATGTTGAGAACGAAGCTGAGATTTGTTAATGTTCATTACAGAAAAGAGGTGCTCACTTACATATGTGCTTCCAACATGGACATAATGTTTGAGGCAAAACACTTAATCCTTTGATAATTTGGTCCCATATACTGATAAAATGTGTCAACATCTTTGTGTTCAGCAAATTTATGTGTTTTGCGATATCTACTATGAAAGCCAGTTCTCCAACCCATTCATTATCTTTCAGTCCTTGTACATCCTTTTCCTTTCCTTTCCGTTCCATGAAAATTTATTTTTCACCACGCATTTCATTACAGTGCTTCAGTACAGATTAC